GCTTTTCTTATATAAATCAAACTCAAGCTATCGATTAAGCCTAGTAAAAACTCGATCCATTCAGCGGTTATTGCAATCTAATAATCTCAAGTACTCTCAACTAATCGACTCGCGTGAAGATACACGGGGTGCCTCACTGTCGCTACGCGCGATCTTTGGCTTCGCGTGACTTGGCGCGAGACACTACCGTGTCTCTTGATATGCGTGGATGCAGTGTGTTCCGCCCCTCCCTCTTCTTCGGGGGAGCTCCACTTCCATAAGATATAACCTAATCCAAATCTATTTCTAATTTAAAATTAAAATTTGGTTTAATCCTAAAGCCCCTCGCCCGCCCATGCAATTACTTAAATATACAACTAAATACTTAAATATATAACGCTCATGCATGGAGAAGTTCAGATTATCGCATTTAATACGTCTCTTATCATATCATTAAATTGTTAATAACTTTGTAATGAACAATAACGAGCGATGGCTAAAATTTTTTGTAGTTACTCAGAACCATGTCCTTGACAATATATATCAAGGTCATTAAAATCGGTGAGGTCGGCGCTAATATCCAGGTTTACCTTAAAATATTTATAAAATATTTAGTTTATACTAATATATATATCATAATATATTACATTAATATATTACAATATTACAATATTAGATTACTTAGTTATGTACATAAATATATGTGTATGTGTATTGTGTAATTACTTAATTTTTTTACACACAGATGTTGTGCATTTTATATCATCTGTCTAAACTGATACCCGCAACAGAAAGATTTCAATGTCCAATTTTTTAAATGGAACCAAGATATATAAAATATACAAATCAAAAAATTTAGTTTTTTAATTGCGATAATAGCTAAACTATGCGATAATAGCTAAACTAATATTTATACATCAGCTAAGAAAGGAAACCGATCGAGCAATTAAAACCAATATCAGTTAAGTTGTCAAAATTAATAAAATAATTAATTTAGAGCAGTAATTATATATGTGCGTTATTAATTTCTATTTGTTTTATTAATTATCATAACTTATTGTTAGTTAATTTATAATTATATCATGTATTTTATTGTCAGCTAATAGTATTTGCTTATTTTGCTTGAATTGACACTTAACGTGCAAAATGTTTATAGTTACGGCAATGTACAAATCACAAAACATATTGGTTTACATCTAACAATAAGTATGCATAATTACCGTCACGTGCAAACTCTATTTGATGTTAAAATATTTACCTTTAATTATTTATAATTTTTGGAAGCACCGTTACGTTTAATACTTTTATATTAGTGTTCTAATTAATCTTTATGCATTATTAAAAATACGTAATTAAAATATATTTTATTTCACGTTTGACATACATATAATACAATTCCTCTAGACGACTCTCTCGCTTTCTTTCTATTTCTTATTAATATAATGTTATAAAAATACTTGAAGTATTGCAACTATTAGTAGATTTGAATATACAAACATCAATAAAAATATATTATATATCTATTAAAAATGTTACACTGACGGAAGTTGAAATCCCAACACCAAGAAGAAGTTATGTTGGGTGAATAGAAATTACACAAAATGTTTATTTACATAAGTATATATGCAATAAAAATGGGGAGTTCCATTTAAGAAAACATCGATCACGTTGACCTCACCTTGAAAAGGTCACTCAAGGTCAAGTCCATCTTTTTATCATGTGGCCCCCTCAAAACCCAACAACTTTTATCTAAAACATTTTTTTCATGCGACCACTTTCTGCGATATTAATCGGGGTGCACAATTAAAATGGGACATCCTGTATATATGTAAAATATCAATAAAATTATATAATTTTAACCAATTATTTAATTAAAATATAATTATATTAGTAAAATAAAAGAGAACTATATTAAAACTGACATATTTTGCTTTCAAGCTCTTATCTTTAGCTAAAAAACAAACATAAAGATTTGTATTCATATTTATTTATTATAAATTGCTTTACATCAGATTGTATCGCAATTTTGATAATATTATTTAAAACTTTGTTGAGTAACTGGCCCTTTTTAAAGGTGAATAAAAATTAAGCTTTGAGAAATTGACCCTTGAAAGTGAATTCACTAAAAACAACAAAAATGTAAGAATATGGGAAAATACTTTCTCTACAATTACTTATTAAATATATTCAGTAATTATTGTACAATTCTAATGGTATGATTGAGATTGTAAAATATAATATAAAAAAATAACATTTATCTCTATACTATTACTGTATAGAAATATACACATTTTTTTAAATATTTTTTTATCTTTTTAGATTAGAATTTTTGATGACATTGTTGTGTACAAAGCATGTAGAAGGAACAAATACAAGACCAAGTCAGCTAATAGTATTTACACATTCTCATTGAATTGACACTTCAAAGAAAAAATGTTAAGTTATGTCAATGTACAAACCACAAGATATAATGATTTACCAGACATCTTACTCTCGCGATTTCCCTAATTGCATTGTGAGAGAACTTAAAAATAAAAATACAAAAATGAAACACATTTAAAAATTTGCAACTGCAGAAAATAACGTAATAGTAACAAAAGCAATACTCTTATTGTCTTTTATTGCAGATTATGTGATTCGCCAAAATGAAAACATCTGAACTTAAAAAACAAATCGATAACAACATCGAACTTTAAAACCATGCCTATTTGAATTATGTAAGTGCATAAACTATAAATTAACTAAGCGGACAAAATTTTTTTTCTAATAAAACGCAGTATTTAATTGCTGACAAATAAATATATATGTCGGTTTTGTGAATGTGTGTGTATTTTTCCTCTATAATTCTTCTTTTTAAATAATTTTTTGGGGTTAAATTTATTATATAAATCAAGAACAAATAGGATGTGCATATTATTATGTTCTGATCGCGTAATCATTATCAGATACATACTAAAGAAGTTGTGATTTCCGTGCAATATTTTTCAATATCGGCACAGACTTAACGCGATTTTCACTTTTCACGCATATTTGCTTAAAGGAAAACGGTACACGCGTCACAACATAAAGCGTTTATTACTGTTGCGAGACTGCTCGTAAATGAAGTTTCGTCATGGTTCATGTGTGCCGTGTTTTTAAACCTAAACTGTTCATGAAGGCAAGAGAGGGATAGAAAAAAAAAAGATACAAAGGAAAGTCTAACGTGAATATTTTTAAAATGATCCGGTAACATCTCACCTACGTATAAACAAAGAAAAAGAGAGAGAAAAGAAAAAACAGAGAGAGAGAGAGAGAAAGAGAGAAAGATTTCACTTCAATACAATTTCAAAAAAGCTTTTCATTCACAACTTTGTTTCTTTTTGCTTTGCAAAATCGTGAAAAAAAATTTCACTGGTTTCATCTCGTTGTTATAATATATTAAGTTATAATATTATAATATTAAATTATAATATAATTAATATTAAATTATAAATTACAATTAAGAGTACAATTAAAAGTATTAAATTATAATATATTAAGTTATTCTTTAATATTTTTTAACATTATAATTTTGTGTTTCTCAATAGTCCTCTATCGCATACAAAATCGCTTAAAATGAACGTTTCTAAAAAATTAATTTCAGGAAATCCCCACAATAATTAATTTATATATTAGCCAAAGATTTCTGTTTTTTGCGAAATGATAAAAATAACCTTAGAAATATACGAAAACCGCGATTTATTTCTTATTTGAGACACGTTATAATGTTGTGAAGGTGATATATGATAGAATATATAAGACGCATGAAGTTTAATAAAAAAAATAATGCGAGCTCTTCTAGGAGAATGACGTAGCTGATAAAAACAGCTACATATATATTATTCTGTTAAAAGAGCTTGCGCATTTTGTTTGTATAAATTTGTATTCTATCATCTTTGCGTGAAACGAGAACTGATTGTGAGAGAAAAACATTTTTTTTTTCATTTCCCAAAGTTGGGGTCACGCGCAATTTATTTCTCACATTGAATAGAATTTATGTGTAAAATTACAGGTCAATCGGGAGCAGGGATCAGATGGAAGTATATTCGAAAAACTGTTCAAGTGCAAACTAAGTACTAGGACATAGATATACATATACCAGTGCTGGGATTTACTTGCACATTTCGGCCCGATTCCGTGGCTCACGCCTATTGCCCCCCACTCACCGCTCGTGCGTTAGCAACGAGTCGCCAGATACGCGTAACTAAGGAGCGCGACGTTTTGTCTCAGGAGCGTCCGTATATAAGAATGCCCAAATATAATAATAAGACAATACTTTTCTAAATGCACCGCGAAAATTCTCAAAATTAAAAGTTTTTCTTCAATATTTTATATCAATGAAATATAAAATATTGAAATAAAACTTTTAATTTTGAGAATTTTCGCGGTGCATTTAGAAAAGTATTGTCTTATTATTATATTTGGACATTCTTACATATGAACGCTCCTGAGACGAAGCGTCGCGCTCCTTAGTTACGCGTATCTGGCGACTCGTCGCTAACGTATGAGCGGTGAGTGGGGGACAATAGGCGTGAGCCACGGAATCGGGCCGAAATGTGCAAGTAAATCCCAGCACTGACATATACATATATACACACATACATATATATATATATATACATACATATTCTGAAATTATTATTGCTTACGCAAAATATCGTGTGAGCAATAATAATTTCATCCATTGTCAATCAATTTGATCCACTTAATGGTAATGCTAATTGTAAGAAAAACACGAGAATCGTAAACGCGCGTGATGTTATGTAAGATTAGGCTTACAAGTAAAACGCGCGCGCGATTCGCTACGGGAGAATGCGAAAACATCAAGTCGGATCGAGGCATACTACATACTTTCTCAATCTACGACGCGCGACTGGTTCACCATCCGACCGAGTCCGGATCCGAGGCCGAGTATTACGAGCCCAAACGGACCCACGAGCGGGTCTCACGTCACATTCGTCCGACGTCCGTGTCTGCCGATCGTTTCCTTCTCGCGGTAAGTGTAGCAGAAGTGTGGTTGCGGCAAGAGCATTCGAGAAAAATCTTCTGAGAGAGCCACGCTTCTCTCCATTTCGCGGGTGTAAATGTGTGTATTTCAACCGTCGATGTGTTCACATGACCGTAAAGCGAAATCGCATAAAAGAAGTGAGATGACACATAAGAGTACACGAAGAGAAAATATTGCAAATATATAAATCGAGCAAGCTTATTTTTGAGACGAGTCTTTTCCACGATAGGACGCTTTAACGTACGGACGCTGAATTGCTAAATTAAAATTGGATAATTATAGCCGTTGCCGATTTTACGGAGAATTTATTTTTTATGCACGTCCGGTTTTAGTATGGTATTATAATATAATTAATGAACGTGCACATGCACGGTCAACGGTAGCTCATTAATTGGCCTTTCTGCTTTTCAAGCCTTCATAGCCTTTTCGGATTTTTTATCCTGTGTGCTTGTGTAATTGTTTTTACTTTAATTTCTTATTTTTTATATTTGCAAAATTATGAAGAGTCATATGTGTCAAAGTACAAATAAATACAAAGACGCGATAACCTTCTCTAAAAAGTTCCCATGATATTAAACACATGAAATTCTCACTAATGAAAAGAAATACAAACATTTAAATCGAATATACCGGTAAGTCAAGTTAGAATGCGTAATACAACGTTTGTATCGTAATTTATTTACATTTGATTATATCTCAAAATGTGTCAAAGATTAATTAGCTTTTCTGTTTTTCAAATTTTCAGAATTTTTATCTTGTGTAATTTTTTTTATCTTCATCTGATTTTAAATGCAACTGCGCATCAAACGATTGATTTACCAGGTGACAATATTACATGTTATTGTAATAAATTCTTATATAATATATAAATTCTTTACTAGGATATTTCTAAATCTCTAAACTCAGAGATTTTGTACAAATTTAAATTTTATTTCTATAATAAAAAAAAAATGACCACAAGAAATGCTCAGGTTATTATTTTATACTTTATATTAGATCAGATTATTATTATATTATTTTAATTTATTATGATATTAATGTTTATTGATTCTATAATTATTATTTTGTATAAATTATTAAAATATCTAACAATATCTCTCTTATTATTTATATATTTATTTATTTATTTATTTATTTATTTATTTATATATATATTGCAGAGAATAATTATTATATGTAAATCGAGGAATCCATTACGTTGATATCTAACGAATGTAACGCAAATTTGCATTATTAATTGTGTTGCTCCGAAAAGAGCAATGAATAAAAATATTTAATAATTGAAATATCTAATTCCCTGCTAAGAGAGAGAGAGAGAGAGAGAAAGCTATGCTTATCTCCTTTTTAACAATATTCACAAAATATATAGATGATAAGATAATTCGGTAGTACCTCAAGTAAATTTTTTCTCTCATATACAAATATAAGAAAATTAAATACTTTATATAATTTCGTTTGCGATATAATACTTATATAATATTGAATGTGTGTTTTTTTCTATTAATTAATAATTTCTTATGTTTCTAAATTTAATTTTATTGTGAAAAGAGGTATACATTATTTTTTATAATAGGAAAAAGATATATAATTGAGACACCAAATGTGCGAGCATTAAGTAAGTTTTCATATACAGGATATGCGTACATTATCATTCAATACTAATTTCAGAAAGATCGTTCTTCCGTGTCATTTAAAGGGGTTACCATTGTTTCACTGTCGAATTATAAATATTCAATACGACCAAGTTGCGAAGGTGCGTGTAACGATCTAATTTCGATAACTAAAATGCATTTCTTTTGACTTGAGCGCGCCTTTATCTGCGCAATATTTAATTGTTCTACTAAATGAGGCAAACGCGCATTGTTGTCATAATGTATGTATAATTATGCATCACGTGATATCAGTACTTTATTAATGCTTTCCGCAACGTGAATAGTCATTTTCTATTTCATCTAGCAACCTAGTCGTACGTATACGACTTGGCGTAAGGATGATGTGATGTGGAAGATACGTCCCTCTGCGTAACAAATTTTTCTAAAAAAATATATATATTTCTTTTTAGAAAAGTAGTTCTTTGATCACAATGGAGCCAGGCGAACTCGATAGCGCCGACGCACCGGACAGAATAGTCGAGACTTTCGCTGGTCGTAAGATAATGCTGACAGGTGGCACGGGATTTTTAGGAAAAGTGATTCTCGAGAAATTTCTGCGATGCCTGCCCGAAATAGCGCAAATTTACATGCTCATCAGATTGAAGAAGGGCAAGGATCCTAAACAACGGTTGCTCGAGATACTCAATTCTCCGGTAAGCTATAGTTAGTCCGACAGCTTTAGTTAGATGACAAGGTTGTCATCTTGTCTCTTTGCACTTTCTAAAACACGCGAAATGCGCGATAAAAAAATTTCTACTAAATAATTGTACGGCAAAATATGAGAAACGTCGCGCGCATGTGTGTGTAGGGTATATCATACACTATTCCGAAAGAATCGTTTTTTACTTTTTTTTTTGCGAAGGCTCTTTTCGCGCATCCGCGGAATTCGGTGGTTGCGTTGCCGCCATCAGACTTCCACCACGGGAAGAGTATCCGCTTTGGTCCCTCAATAAGAGCATCAAAAAGAGAAAGTGTGTGACTATGACTCTGCTACTGTACGCACTGCAAGTTGCATCATTGTTGCCTTACAACAGATGGATAATATGAGGTGCCTCTCTTTCTCCTCGTGCGCGCGCGCGCGTTTTTGATATTTCTTCGGCAGACAAATTTGCCGGTGAAAGCGCGCTAACCGGATCGTCGCCGTCGATCACATTGAAATCCACGTCGCTCTACGTGACGAAAGAAACCAAGTCAAGGCCTTGTCGAAAATATAGCGAGAAGATGGTGATTATATTCATACACACCGCGCTCTTACCGGTTTTGGTGAAAGTATACGGCGGATTGCGCGTTTCGCGCGCGTTATATCATGCCTTTCGAATTTTAACGCAACACCGTAAACATGCTACGTCATACATAAACGTGCGCACGTAAGATGCCTAAATGGGCGTCATTAGAATTACGATTTTCTTTTATATCTATTTTTCGTCAGAAAGAGACTCGGTAGACTCGGTAGTGTCAAGGATTCAATTCTTTCATTTGATTCTCTTTTCGCGTCGCCTTGGCTTCAATATTTACCATTGTTTCACTGTCGAATTATAAATATTCAATACGACCAAGTTGCGAAGGTGCGTGTAACGATCTAATTTCGATAACTAAAATGCATTTCTTTTGACTTGAGCGCGCCTTTATCTGCGCAATATTTAATTGTTCTACTAAATGAGGCAAACGCGCATTGTTGTCATAATGTATGTATAATTATGCATCACGTGATATCAGTACTTTATTAATGCTTTCCGCAACGTGAATAGTCATTTTCTATTTCATCTAGCAACCTAGTCGTACGTATACGACTTGGCGTAAGGATGATGTGATGTGGAAGATACGTCCCTCTGCGTAACAAATTTTTCTAAAAAAATATATATATTTCTTTTTAGAAAAGTAGTTCTTTGATCACAATGGAGCCAGGCGAACTCGATAGCGCCGACGCACCGGACAGAATAGTCGAGACTTTCGCTGGTCGTAAGATAATGCTGACAGGTGGCACGGGATTTTTAGGAAAAGTGATTCTCGAGAAATTTCTGCGATGCCTGCCCGAAATAGCGCAAATTTACATGCTCATCAGATTGAAGAAGGGCAAGGATCCTAAACAACGGTTGCTCGAGATACTCAATTCTCCGGTAAGCTATAGTTAGTCCGACAGCTTTAGTTAGATGACAAGGTTGTCATCTTGTCTCTTTGCACTTTCTAAAACACGCGAAATGCGCGATAAAAAAATTTCTACTAAATAATTGTACGGCAAAATATGAGAAACGTCGCGCGCATGTGTGTGTAGGGTATATCATACACTATTCCGAAAGAATCGTTTTTTACTTTTTTTTTTTGCGAAGGCTCTTTTCGCGCATCCGCGGAATTCGGTGGTTGCGTTGCCGCCATCAGACTTCCACCACGGGAAGAGTATCCGCTTTGGTCCCTCAATAAGAGCATCAAAAAGAGAAAGTGTGTGACTATGACTCTGCTACTGTACGCACTGCAAGTTGCATCATTGTTGCCTTACAACAGATGGATAATATGAGGTGCCTCTCTTTCTCCTCGTGCGCGCGCGCGCGTTTTTGATATTTCTTCGGCAGACAAATTTGCCGGTGAAAGCGCGCTAACCGGATCGTCGCCGTCGATCACATTGAAATCCACGTCGCTCTACGTGACGAAAGAAACCAAGTCAAGGCCTTGTCGAAAATATAGCGAGAAGATGGTGATTATATTCATACACACCGCGCTCTTACCGGTTTTGGTGAAAGTATACGGCGGATTGCGCGTTTCGCGCGCGTTATATCATGCCTTTCGAATTTTAACGCAACACCGTAAACATGCTACGTCATACATAAACGTGCGCACGTAAGATGTCTAAATGGGCGTCATTAGAATTACGATTTTCTTTTAATTCTATTTTTCGTCAGAAAGAGACTCGGTAGACTCGGTAGTGTCAACGGATTCAATTCTTTCATTTGATTCTCTTTTCGCGTCGCCTTGGCTTCAATATACATATAAACTGTACGATAAAAACCGTATTTTTTTTTTTTGTTATTAAGATTGTATCGAAAACATTATATTTCGTATTGCGTATTTTTGTTCCAAATTCCAGGTAAAGAAAATATTTTAAAGATTTTTTGGTGCAACTTTCTAACATAAATTTTTTTCACGCCTACGCTTCTTCAGTGGCCCGCAAAGATTCAAAGTTATGATTTTCACATTAGAGCCTTATTAACTTCTTAACTTATAAATTTTTTTATTGCATGTATTCTAATGTTTTTTTCACTCATAAGAAAACATAAGAAAAACGTAAAGCCTCTCAAGTTACAAGCTAGATTTGTATATTTGTACTGAAAAAAACTGAGTTTTCGTAAGATAAACATTTTTTTACTTGCATATTCAATATTTCGTTAAGACATTGAATATATAAACACAGAGATAAATATATATTTAAAATATATTTTAAACGCATAATTCACTTGTTTTGTCGACTGTTTGCAATATGAGAGCAAAATTATCAGAGACAATTTTTAAAAAAATTCCCCGTCTCCCAATAAAATTCCATGAAAATACCCTGATTTTTCCAAGTACAAAAAAAATCTCTGAAAAATCCAGGTTTTAGTAGACACTCTGATAATGTTTAATTAATAATGAAATTGTTGTAACCATCTTATATAAAAAGTATGAAATAATCACAATCCTTAAAATATTGTACAATAGCTTCCAAAGAGTATAAGAAACATTACATCTATTTGCTGTAATTATCACAAACGATAATTTTAGTGAGATTTAGAAAAATACTAACAAATATCTAATAATTAATATAATATACCAAATATGCACACATTTTGTATTTGTATATATTATATATACAGGGTGTCCGGAGTCAATCGCATCACTCGTTGTGTGCAGATAGAGCAGGTTAAACTGAGTAGGAAAGTCCTTTACCATTTTGCGACTTCCGTAATAATTATTGAGAAATTAATTAAAAAAGATCGACCAATTCGCGTAAGTATAAACGCGCGGCGAGAAAGGACGACCCAGAGACAATCCAAAAGTTTGCGGTCGCTAGGCGCGCGACGAGGTTTTGGGAAGAGCGCTCTACAAATGACAACGGTTACGTACGAGAATGGCACATAACGATAGATTCTCGCGTCTTAGCAACCACATATTAATGTGTTGTCCCTTTTTACTGCGCGCTTATACTCACGCGAATTGGTCGATCTTTTTTAATTAATTTCTCAATAATTATTGCAAAAATCGCAAAATGGTGAAGGATTTTCCTACTCAGTTTAACCCACTCTATC